TGTGACAGAAAGTCCTGTGGATTTTATCTCTTACTCGTGCTCAGATGCCTGTATAATGATGGACATGTTTATTCCTCGTGTGCTTACACAGTATCATCTGTGTAAAAATAATTAATTAAAATAATCTCGTTTTTATTATCTGGACTCTTGAATTGGTACCCAAAAAGACTGCATATATAGAAAACTCAAAAGAAATCCTGCAGTAAGTTGAGTCACATCAACTCAATGCAATTCAGTTTATTTATATAGCGCCAAGTCACAACAGAAGTTATCTCAGGGCACTGAACAGAAACGTTCATATATAAAATAAGTTAACAGAAACATTCATATTTAAAAATAATAATTTAACATTATTTATCTGAGGAGCAGACTGCTTTGAGTTTAACTCCATCGCAGAACTCTCATCTTGAGCAAGCATGAAGCCATTGAGCCATGAGCCATTTGCTTCGACCGGCTGGGTTTGAGAGGAACAGATACACAATGGCAGGTCAAGAATAACATGTTAAGATAGAAATAGTATCAAATGAAAACTATTAAATTTTAACAATTAATTTAAGAAAATGAGGTAAATTTGTCCTCCAGTAGTCTAAGCCTATGGCAGAATAACAAGCCAACCTTAACTATAGAATTGATCATAAAGGAAAGTCTTAACTCCAGTCTTAAAACTGGACAATGTGTCAGCCTTATAGACATAAACTGGACGTTGGTTCCACAAGAGAGGAGCCTGAGAACTGAAAGATCTTCTTCCCATTCTGCTTTTGGAAAATCTAGGGACCACAAGTAAGCCTGCAGTCTGAGAGCAAATTGCTCTATTGGGAATGGGAAAATATGGAACAATAAGATCTCAAATATAAGATGGAGCTAGGTTGTTGAGGGCTTTGTAGGTTAGAAGCAAGATTTTGAATTAAATTCTGGATTTGACAGGGAGCCAATGGAGAGAAGCTAAAATGGGAGAGATATAATCTTTCCAACTAACGCCAGTTAAAACTTTGGCAGCAGCATTTTGGATCAACTGAAGACTTTTTAAAGAAGTATTTGGACACCCAGATAACAAACCATTGCAATAGTCCAGTCCAGACATGACAAATGCATAAACCAGCTTTTTTGCATAATTTTTAGGTAAGATGTTTCTAATTTTAGTGATACTACGCAGGTGGAAGAAGGCAGTTCTAGTAACGTTTTTAATGTGGGGGATAAAAGACATGTCCTGATCAAAAATAACACCAAGATTTTTAACATTAGAACTAGAGGCCAGATTAATGCCATCCAAGAAGGGAGAAAGACTGAAAAATTAATTCCTTAGATGCTCAGGTCCAAAAACTAAAACTTCAGTCTTGTCTGTGTTCAAAAACAGAAAATTTCAGGTCATCCAGGTTTTTATGTCTTTAAGACATGCTTGTAGTCTAAGTAGCTGATTGGATTCATTGAGATTCATGGACAAATATAACTGTGTCATCAGCATAACAATGAAAATGTATCCCTTGTTGTTTAATAACAATACCTAATGGAATTATACATAAGGTAAAGAGTACTGTTCCAAGCACTGAACCTTGAGGAACTCCACGACTAACTTTGGTGTATGATGAAGATTCATTATTTACATTTACAAATTGGAATCTATCAGATAGATATGATTTAAACCAATTTTGATCTGTTCCTGTAATTCCAGTATCATATTCAAGTCTCTGTAGTAAAATATTTTGATCAACTGTATCAAATGCAGCACTGAGGTCTAACAGGACCAGTACAGACACCTGTCCATTGTCAGAGGCTATGAGAATATCATTAGTGACTTTTACTAGTGTTGTTTCTGTGCTATGATGAGCTCTAAACCCTGACTGAAACTCTTCAAACAGATTATTTCTTTGTAGATGTTCACACACATCAGTAACACAATGGAGGCACTTTATTTGTTTTTACTTTGTTGGTGTTAAATATAAAATGTGACAACCTCTTAAAATAAGCTAAATAAAAAAAATAGTATATTCTAGGGCTCCTATGAATGTACAGAATAAAATAGTTCAAAAACCCAATGTAAAAGTAAATCCACCTAATTGCAAGCATCAACCTTAACATTATAAATAGTACTTAAATCATCAGTATATTTAAATGTTCTTAACATAAATCAATGAACAGTGTTTGATTGGAGAGCCACACGAAGGTCCGAAGGTTCTGAAGAGCTTCGAATTTAAATTAACGTTCACTCTAAACCCTCTAATCTGATTTACAAATATGACCATTTTCCCAACACCTTTGCTTATGTTTCTAACTCGTCCATCCCTCTGTTAACAATTCACAGCTCGCCCGATGGTTTGAAACGTGTGACAGGTTTGTTGACTTTGAATCCCCTTTCCTTGACCGCGCTGAGCCTTCCAGCTGTTGTCAATCAAATTCAGTCACCAGAGAGTTTATGGTGGTGCCAAAAACTACAAAAACACATCAGATTTTCGTGAATAAAACAAAACATATGAACCCACTAGAAATGTTCGGTGAAAAGGGGTGAACTCATGTTGCCGTGGTGATTTATGACCATGACATGTATCTGGGATTTAGCTCCAATAAATGTATTTTCTTGGTTTTATTAAAATTTTGCAGCATTTTCGATAATATTCCAGATTTGCAGCCATTCTGTTTTGGTCGTGTTTTCTCATGTTCTTCTAACGTTGGTGCACAAATGTTCTCAGATTAACTGAGCTAGCTTGCTTTCTGTTGTGTATTTAGATGCATTTTTCTTTCTCTCTGTATTATCATAAACACCCGTCCAGCTTGCCTAAAGGAAAAAAGTCTCTGTAATATTTTCCTAAAGGTTTATTTTAATTACTTTCATCTAATTATATAAGAAAAGAAGGAAGTATTCATTTTGACTGAAGGGGAGGACAAACTGACTTTTAATTCTGTTTACAGTAGTGACACACTTGGAGCTCTTATTCTGTCTGTCTTCCCGTCCACATGTTTAGGTCAGACAGCAGAGTTCCAGATGTTACATCAAGATGCTGTGAACCACTGCAAAGTGGAGGAGGAGGAGCGCAGGGAGCTACAGGAAGTATCCCACGGTATCCAGAGTAACCTTGACATTCCTTCCTGACCAAGTTCTCTGACATCTCCCAGAATTCACTCTGCCTCTCATAGGCCTGCAGATGACACACATACATCCACACAAACCCAAACACATTCACACATCAACAATCCACAAACAGCAACGGTCCAAACGCTGCAGAACCTGCATCTTTGTGTCTAATGTATCAGTGTTTTGTCTCATAAGCACAAGTTACGTTACAGACATCCAGACTCACGTTAATTTAAACACCTTCCAGGCAAGAATGTAAAGAGTTGTAAGCTGAGACGTCTGAGACAAAAACAGAACAAAAGGGATGTTGGAGATCGTATAATGGTCTGCGCAAACACATAAACATGCAACACATGAATATTTGCACTGCAAGAAAAGAGGAGGAAAGTGTATTTATATAAGCCTTTTGAATTAAAGCACCTAAAGCAGTCATTTTATGACCTGACAAAGCAAGTGTTTTATTTAATCAGTACATTTTTGTTTACAGTACAGCCTCTTGTAAATGACTGATTGTGTTTAAAACTATTCAAAAATATGAACATGTGCAGCTAGAGACTAATCTCCCACTTGTCAAAACAATAAAACTAAAAACAGTAAAACTGTGTAAACATAAAAGCAAAAACAACATTCTTCATTTCGGTGAGATAGCAACATTATTAATAATATTATTTACATGAGTCAGCTTGTACAGAGAAGGAGCTGATGGTTAGGAAATCACAACAACTCCTGGCTGGCTCATATGATCAGTGGAAGGATCATTTCAGAAGTGCAGTGTTGCAACGCAAACGTAACCTTATTGAAAAAAATAGCAAAAAAAAAATACGACAAAATAAAATTGTGTAAAAATGCCAGTAACATATTAAACTGATAGGAAAGTTTTACGTTTGAATTGTTTTAAATGGCAAAAATTCACTCTTGAGACCGCTCTAATCGTTGTCTGCTGCAGGTAGGATACTGACTGCTTATAGGTATTCCACACAGATATCAAAATAACAAATAAAAATCCCTTTATTCCACACACATTACTGACTGATGAGTGATTTAGAAGCACAAGAAAAAATAATTTTAGATACATCAACAGTCAGTGGCATTAAGATATTGACAGAAGTGCACAATACATCACTTCAGTGTCTGCCTTTCTGCCAAAACACCTTTTTGCATTCAGTTTCTTAATTTACTGAACAGTTGAACTGTGTTATATTTGTGGCTTTCTTTTAATTTTTATAACAAAAGCACATTTTTCCTTATAGCGTGGTTGAAGTTCTGTCAAATGACACACACACACCCAGATGTGTGCATGAAGACAGGACTGTGCATGCAGGGTTAAAACAGCATCCAAACAAAATCAGACTTTAACGAGGTTCTCATTTCAGTTTTTTCTCTGTCACTTTTTTTATTTTTCTTGCGACCCATTTTTCTGTTCTGAGAGACAGAAAGAGGTTTAGGGTGGGTGTTAAAGAATGAATAACTTGGTTCTTTTTGTTGGCAGACAGACAGACAGGAAGGAAGAAAGACATAGACAGGAGGAGAGCGACAGACAGCATTTGCATTTAAACATTTTTGCATTAAAAACCCACCCTTGCACAGGAATATGTGTATGTGCTAAACTCTGCAACAGTGCTGCTGCACAAATCAATAGTATTTCTAAATTGCACTTGCACATATACAGACTTTTAAATGTTGCTACTCACATCACTACTCATGAATCCTGCTGTTTAAATGCAAAGCTTGAACCACCAATTTTTTTTCTCTGACGCACATCAAAGCCACTGATTCAGTGTAAAGACCATCTATTTTAGTAGTGACAATACATCATCTAAAAACAGAAACATCTTGTCCCACGCTGCCGTTCAGGGCAGGTCAATCCTCTAGAATGAGTCTGGTCTGTGTGTGCATGTGTGAGAAAAGAATGAAGCAAAGGCAAAGTGGGTACCTGTCGATGATAACGGGGTCTGAGGGTGTCTCATTACGGTTTCCACAGCTCTTCTTGTCACAGCACCGACTAAGAAAAAGAGAGTTAAAGAAGAAGACACGGGGCAAAGTGAGTTTGACGTGCAGAACATTCGCTCGGTTGTATGCTCCAAATTAGACGTTTAATCCGGAGCTTTTTACAGCACATAATGCACTTCGACGGAACCGATAGCGAGGTTGTTACCAAATTCACATTTGATCAAATCAGCAGAAAACGGGCCAAGAGGAGTTTCACGGAGTCTGTCAAGCAGATCAGCTCTGAGAGCAAAGTTAAAAATAGGCTTTGGTGACACAGAAAGTGAGCGCACAGCGGCACCTCAAAGAAAAATACTGGATGTTAGAGGAACTAGCCAGCTAGGGAACACAAAAGGTGGTTAGCTATGCTGCGTCTTCATAAAGCCCATTAATGGAGCGATGTTTTAAAAGCTATATCACCAAAGATATTGGTGCTACAGTATTGTTGGTTGGAATTATTAATGGCTTGGCTGTGTGCTGAAAAGATTTACATTTTGGAATTAACCTTTCTCTGTGTTCAGTTTACGGCCCCTCCATGTCCCTGCAGATTTCCAGCTTCCTCTAACAATCCACAGACATTCATCTCAGGGTAATATTAAGATTGGTCTTTGTTCATAACTGAGTGAGAGAAAGCGTATGTGTATATTCCCTATTACCTAACACTAGCTGAGGTAAAGCTGCTATGATAGGACAACAGGTTGCACAGTTGATCACAGCTTCATTTTAGACTTACTCAAGCCTCTGCTGGACCTTGTCCCCCACCTGGACTAAGGTACTAGGACAGCCTTTCTCAGAAGGATGTGCAGCGAGGCCTGATTCCATTTCTGTATGATGGTTGTTCTATAAAACTTGCACAAAAGCAGAACTATCTCTGTGTGGGATGCAGCACTTGCAATACTTGTTTTTGGCCAACATTCATTTTAAAATATCTCTTGTGTAATAAACCTGCTGGCATACGTGTGTGTGATAGTGTGGGTTTGTGTCTGAAGTGGACTTTAGGGCAATGTTTAGAAAGTGGACTATCCAGAAAACTACATTTTTCTTAGAGTTCCCTCTGTTAAGTGTTCGTAATTTACTTTGGGAGAGGTGACAACAGGAAGTACTACATATTACAAAGAAGCTGGTTGAAGGAGTGTGATGTGCTTAATTTTCTTATTTGACACGTTTGTTCTTGTTTGTGCAGAACTGTGCAAAAGTCATGTTTTTTTTTTTTTTTTTGCTTAGTATTTTAAAGTGGTCTTAAGCAATATTTTTCCAGGCTTTCGGAAAGTTTTTCTGGACACTGGTTGCTTTTGTGGCCCATTTATAGAACAATAAACGTTGTAGCTATTTTGCCACTTACAGAAATACTGTTGCAGAACAAATACACCCCTAATGAGAACAATGTATAGTTGCTCTCAGCTGTACAGAGGAAAACGTGGTATTTTTTATATACTCTATTTCCCCGATGTGGAAATCAATTCTCTGCATTTCTCCCATTGCACATATGAGCTGACATGTGGAGCAAAGGGCCGCCATCTAAGGCACTCGGGGAGCAGCTGGGGGGTTAAGGGCCTTGTTATTACTTCAGCTTACTTGTTAATTAATTAATTAATTCAACCTTTATTCATACAGGTTAGTCTCATTGAGTCACATGGATTCATTTTCAAGAGAGACTTGTTTTAAACAAAAAAACACAGTTGAGATAGTTTAGACGAGGCAGTTTAGCATCCCTAATGGCACCAACAACGCAGTGGTCACTCAAGTCATCTGCAAAAACACTCATCCCATAAAATTTATGAGGCATATTTGTTATTAAGAGATCTAAAATAGATGAGCTTCCTGGGCATTTTTTGTTGGGATGAGTGAATTAACAGCACCTTATGAGAGTTATGAAAAATGACACATTTAGGGTTTGTAAAAACTGCTAATATTAGAAATAAAACACATGGCTGATGTAAACCATCACATCAGATGGAAGTTTTTTAATGTAAAGTTAAAGGGTCAACATGGAATATTGTCATTACAATTTTAGACCCTGTGATGTAAAAAGTACATTTATAATCTCATATAAGTACAGCTGGACACATTCAACGATCTTGTGCAGTTGTTTTAATGAAATAACATAAACCCAAATGATAATTAAGAGTTCTTAGTTGGCATTAATTTGAGTTTGAGCAGTGCTTGGTGTTGCTAAGTAGAAAAATAAGTAGTTTCTTCTCATTTCATGAGTGCTCGGTGCACCAGTTTTCATTTTAGATCAAAACTGCTGAAACTTTATTTATTCTAGGATGAAGCTCGCACAATAAATCAGTTTTTAAACTTTTCCAATTCTGCAAGTTCTCAAAAGAAACTGAGCCTTGTTTGAAAATAACATTATTGTAAATAATCAGTATAAAATTATGAAAAAGGCTCAAACTGAAATTAATTTAAAAGATGAAAAGCCTTGCTTTTTTATTTTTAGTATATGCTGAACATGTGAGCTGGAGGTAAGCTCAAAGGCAATGCAGATGGGAAACACGCTGCACATGAGCAGCACTGGCAAGCTTACAAAATCTCACACATACGGTATGTACTACAAGTGTCAATGAGGCTTTCTTTGTGTGCATCAATTATGAATAAAGGTGGAAGTATGGGCGGGAGGAGGATAAAGCCTGAGAGGGTGGAGGGCCAATAAAAGAGTGAAAGGGTAAGAGTATAAAAGAAAAGAAGGAGGGAGAGGGAGGATGAGCAGGAGAAAAAGGAGTTTGGGTGGGAAGAAGATGAAGGGGAGCCATCTCTGGTTTCTCACTGTCACAGATGGCAGAGGTGGAAAGAAAAGGACTGACACGTTACACCTTACTCATTGTCTCCACTATCTGCTTCTATCCGCCGCTCTTTCAGCTCTCGCTGTCATTTGCTTTTTGCTGCGCTGTGAACTGGGTCACCGCGTGGAAACCTTCGGAGAACAGCGCAGCATCAGTGGGAAGTTAAGAGATGAATGCAAGCGGAGTGATAAGGAAATGAGCAAATGGAGAGAGCCAAAAGAGGGAGGGGTGGATGGGGCAGATGAAGAGCAAAGATTAAGGGATATGTTTGTGTTCAAGAGGAGAGAGGAAGATGGTATAAATGAAGGGGGGAAATATAACAAGGAATTGGATGGGGGTGATGTAGCACTTCCAGTGTGTTGAATTCATGTAATTAACTACTTTCCTTTTTTGGCATTAGGGCCTCCTGGTGGATGTATGTCACCTGTTTTATACAGAAATATTTGTCAAATCGAAGAACAGTTCAACAGCAAAAACTTTTTTTTAATCTTGTTTTAGGAAAGATGTCAAAAGATTGCTGCCTCCCAAATGTATTTTGTTTCTCATTTGTGTTAGCGAACAGGAGCAAATACAGCACCCATACAGAATGAGTTAAGATGATCAAATCTTCCATAAGTACCATATGTTATTTAAAAGTTTTTAGCTCTGCAATAGGCAAATAAAAAGTGTGATAATATTTAGTCTGCAAATTAGTTAAAATATACACTTAATCAAATGAAATTGATTTTAATCAAGTAAATCCTTACTTTTATAACATTAAGTTGCATAAAAAAATGTTGTCTCGTTGACCTCAACACTTCTCAATTTCTAAAATATTAAAGCTCCGTCTAAACTGTTCTGAATATTTTTAACAGATACTGTTGTGTTGTAGTGTCAGACAGGCCTCCTCTCTTCCTGTTTTTAAATCTCTTAAAAACACACTTTTATTCTTTGGTTTTTAACACGTGATCTTATCATTTATGGCATCTTAACACACCTGCCGTGAAACTGGTACGTGTATGTTTTTATGTTTCTTTGTGCATGCTTTGTATGTTTTTATGGTCTTAATTAATTTGTCTTTTTGTCTTATTGTACAGCACTTTGGCTACCCCTGCAGTTTTTAAAATGTGCTATAGAAA